GTGTTCTTTGATCAATTCTTAACCCTTTTTGTTTTATAACTTTCTCTCGTTAAGTTGTTGGTTATCGAGTTAAAAATTGTCGGAATCATTTTATGACATACAGGTCTTCGGGAGTCAAATTTATGATCGCCATTTTGAATTTCGTAATTATAACTGTTTTACAATAAAGTATACAAGCCATTGACCAAATTTATATACGTAAGACGCACGAGCGAACTTTTTTTCCTTATTGAAATTTGAGTTAAACGAGATTTTTTTCTCGAAATTTCATGTTTTTATTTACAAAATTGTTTATAACTTTTTATTTAATAATATTTTTAGATTCTACCCCCAGATTCGATAAGTACATTAAATTTTACGAGAGAAATTATGTCTGAAAAGTTTTTCAAACAATTTCTAGTCGGTGTAATTCATCGCTATAAATGTTGTCCAAAAATGGTCATTTCAGGCGTTAAAGGGTTAAGAATAGTTCCTAAGAGAATAGTGTGCATTTCATTAGTGAAATTATGACAAGCGCTGATTTTTTCTTGACAATTGTAAATATACTTATAGAATCTTAAATCGATTTTTTAAAATTTCAATAAAAATCATGTACATATAATAGTCATATTTTAACTTCACGCTATCAACTATCATTACACTTACATTCACTACCGTATTGGTGTTTTACTTTTGAACCGGTTGAAATGTAAATGTTTTTGAACTATAAAAAAATTCAAGTTTTATTTCTGATCTTTATGTGCAATGATTAATTATGATAATTAAATCACCCGGTGACAGAGTCATTAAATTAAAAAAAAAACTTGAAATGTCAGAGTACGTGCAACCGTTGAAAAACATTTTCAACAGTGTGAAAAATTAAAATTTTCAAAAAAAAGATCGTGGAAAGAGAAAGAAAGAACCCTTCGAAAATGTTTACACGAATATTTTCGACTCTAGAAGGTTTCTTAATCCTTGAATGAACAATCAAAAATAAAAAGAAGGAAAACTATATTCTTTTAGCAGCTCCTACTCATACATAATACAAACGTATCGTAAAGTTTTACTTTAAATGGCACAATTTATGTAACCCATTTTAGTTTTCGACATTTTTGAAAAGATGACGCTTGTGCTTTTATTAAACTAGTAACTTTCAGGCGCGCTTCGCGCGCGTACATTTTTCAGTCAGTTTCGAAAAAGTTGCTATTTTGACCGTAGATGTCACTTTATTACGTTTCGACTCGAATCAAAAGTCACTCGACCAATCAGAGGCCGAATAGATTGGCTTTACTTTTAGGTCCATCTCTTTTTTATTCTCTTTTTTACTTTTTTATAAGTTAGATGCTAAAAAATCAATATTTTAACCAAATTTAGAAACAAATATTGTCTTAGAAATATGTACTTTTTCAAATCCTCGTAGGGCCTCAGCCAAATTTGATGGGTTCTATGAGTCCTTTTATGAGCAGACGCAAGTATGAGTAACCCGTGTATTGAATTTTCATTGATTTATCTCAAAAACACTTTGTAAAATAAAAGTGACACTTATTAAATAGTAATTTACTCGACTGTACCATTTAATTCTTTTTAAAAAAGACTGAATACTGAATTGTGGCTGGATATTGTGAGAGTCACATCAAGATAAGTGTGAATCGTACTCAGTGATAATGTCGAAACTAGCTCGACGAGGCTCGAGCGCGATTCACGCTCGGTCTCGAGGCTGAATCGCGCTCAGTGCTGATCACGATAATAGCTCAGCAGAACTCGTGAGTGATTCGTTTTCAGAACTCGAGCGTGAAAGATGTTCAAAAGTTTTTCCGTGTAGGGACGGTCGAATATGATGATGTACCTTTGCACGCGGCGAACGATGCGCGAGTGAAAATATGTGCGGATATCAGCTGTTCGTGCTCGCTCGTCTCGATCCGCGCATGTGACGTATGCCGCTACGGCACATTACCTATTCCAGAGCGCAATACATATGTATATACCGTAACGTACGCGACTCGAGAGTTGATATTATAATGGAATGCGCGGCACGTGATGCTCGTTCGTGATTATGCAAATGTCAATACTAGGAAAACACCGTATATTCGAGCGCTTTACTCGGGCGTCGCGACGCGCGCGCAAAAATTGCCATCGAGCAATCGCCTATAGCGCGGCACATAATGTTAGGTCGCGGCGCGATCCGCGGCTCGCGCGTCCGATCATTATAATAAAATATCGCAGCAGTTCGCTGCTCGATCATGACGAGGTGGATGCTTACACGCGGAAAAACGCCGATAAATGAAAAGCCGCCGCCGCCGTCATTACACTGCTCGCACACGCATACACGCGCGTGATTCTACTCCGATCATCTCGAGCGGTGTAAATAATATCGCCTGCAGCCGCGCGATGCCTTGCCTATATGGAGCGACAGACTGGCTGCAGTGCAGGATCACTGCGATGGGCTCGTGCTTTTCACGCTGCGGAGTTTCTCGCAAGGTATTTTTGCTCGATCTATACCTATCTAGTATGTATATACACATCCGTGGCGCGAATCGTACTTGTTGCTGCTACCAATATAGCACCTGAGCCAAAGCTCCGATCGTGATCGGCATATATGTGCTGCTGCTACTGTGTATATATAGCCTACGAGCTGACACGAGCATCTTCCTTTGTGAGCCACTCGTATACACTAGCCGCAGTTTCATCGAGCTCGATATGTTGCTGCAGCTCACCTTCGCCACTGGCAGACTGCCTGGCGTATATTATACATCAACGTCTTCATAACGCTTGGGCCTTGTACCACCACGACTTTTTTCGTACAATTTTATTATTCTTTTTTATCTAATCATACCCACGCATGTGTGCGTAAATGCAATGGGCGCACTGGTTCAGAGCTGAGTTGCTCATTTATGTATAATAACTCTACGCAAAAGAGACACAGTTTCTAAGGCTTTTGTTGTTGCAATGAGATATACCGATCCTATATGTAGCGAGCAATCAAAAATATTTTTATAAAAACCTTCATTTTGATTTAAATGCAAATTCTAACACTTCACATTTCAGCTTTCAATTGCGTTTATGGACTACAAAGATAGTTTTCGCCAGTACCAACATACTCCGTTGAAAAATTTTTTAATGTAATGCAGATTAAATGTAAATAAAGACATTAAAATTAATACTGAATTTTATTTAAAGTACTTTCACTTAAAATCTTCGTTAAAAATTAACGTCTAGGTACTGATTTATTTTTTGCATAAATTGCACAAAAATTTATGAAAAAATTGTACATTATCTTTAATGTATAAATTGAGCGAAAGTATTTAATTTTATACTCAAATTAATACATTTTTATTGAGAATAATTGTTTTAATACTGATTTACCTTTTGCGTTGATTGTTCAAAAATTTTATTAAAATTCAATGAAAATGAAAGCCACTAGATAGCGAGTATTTTCTTCTGCGAATCTGCAAGGGGTAATATTAAAATGATAGCATAAGAGGTTGCTATGAGTTTAGAAAAAAACCCAAATATCCGGCTTCCTTCCCATTTACACGTTAAAGTTTATTATTTAAAGAAGATGCAAATTGTCGATTGAAAATCTAAAGTAAGTTTCAGTATTTTTTAATCATTTCATTAATTCCTTGCTTCTTGTAAATTAATTTGCAAATATTTTGTAGGTTTTCAGCATTGTTTAAACTACGCACCTAATGTTTTTCAGTGAATCATACAATCAAATAACTCGAAAAATAGAGTTCCATGTATTTTGAGAATCATGATCTAGTCTGCAGCTACCTCCACAAAACTTCTGGCATGAATAGTTAAGTATCAAAGAGCAAAGACTCGTTTTACATTCAGCGTCGAATGGGGATCAATGAAACTGCCCGGTACAGTGCAGATAAGTAGTACACGTTTTTGTTATTGAAAACAACGTGACTCGGCCGATTCGTTTGAAAAAATACGAGATACATTTTTTGCATATATCTGAGGTGCTTTTAAAAATGTTTTTGTACAAAAACACGAATTGGAATATAAGAATGAAAAAAGGTGAGCAAAAAACTTGTCAGCCGAGAGCGTGTAAGTGGCATAATAAATTATTAAGTCTGCTCACGCGACGACGTTAAGTTGGTTTTTGTTTCTTATTGATGTAAATATGCAACTGTGCGAGATTATCAGGTTGAATAAAAAATAGAAAGTATGTTATCAGGGAAAAAAATTTACGGTGGCTTGAATTGAGGCACGATAATTAGGCGTTAATTACATTAGCAGCAAAAAATTATAAAAATATGTCATCATAGAGACGTTTTAACACCAAATGTGCTGGATTATTTATTCTCTTTCGAGCATTTTTCTTTCTCTTGTTTCCGACCGTAAACAATTTAATAATTAAAATAAAATTTCAAAACATGTTAAGTATAAAAACAAGATTTAAAGTTGAAATTTTATGAAGAATGGTGTGTGGCCGTACTCAATCAATATAGTTCATAATTTTTTCTATCAAATGGTATTTTTCAATTACTGCCTGCTAATGGAAGAGACAATAGTAATTTCATGTGATTATTTTTGAAAGCAAGTTTATTTCTTGTCTTTCTTGTCTTTCTTGTCATTGCCTGTGAAAGAAAGTTTATTTCAAGTAGAAGCTTTTTTGAAAAAATGCTCGCTCCACGATTGAATCATAGCGGCGTCGCAGTCGTGGATGGGCCTCTGCATGCGTCGAGCAGATGTCGCTGCTCCTAGCGAGTCTCGCACGTGTAGCAGTAGTAGGTGATCGGTTTGTTGTTGCACTTACTGGCACTGACTCGCGTGTAATTCGTACAATCAATATTTTATTTTAATTTCAATTTTTGACTCGCGATCGCCACTGTTCACTCGACGCACGACTGTTAAAAAACAGTTTCAAAGTCGAGTCTAGAGCCGTGTGGTCATTTTTGATAACGATTTCCCAACTGCTTGTGATAATTCAATTTAATCTCTCGATTTCTTTAAAATAAAAAAATACACACACAAAGCAATAACAGTTCAATATTTTTTTATATACTCGCTTTTTTCTCTTTTTTTAAGTTGTATGTCATGTATACTTTATTCTCAATACAAAATAGTATAAAAATGAATAATTTAATTAATTATTATATATAACAATATTACATAATATATATTATTATATATTAATGGCTTTTATCTTATTATTTTTATACATTAACTACAGATAAAGTATTTACATCAACAACTTATACGCTGCTCGTTTATATACATCGCTCAATTTTTCCCCCATATTTAAACCTTCCTCGTGCTTCGCCCACCCAGCACGTGTATACTGACTCGATGCGACTCCATATTATCCTTGCGCGCGAACTGGCGCGGACACTCGGGACACTTGTGATACCTCATGCCGAGATGCACCGACTCCACGTGCCGCCTCAGATGATTCTTCAGGCCGAACTTTTTGCCGCACTCGTCGCAGTGGAAGTTGGGCGGTAGGTGGCAACTGGCGAAGTGGAAGGTCAGAGTGCTGCGCCAGCCGAAGCTCATGTCGCACTGGCCGCACTTAAACTTCTTCACGCCGAGATGCACGAGGTCGACGTGCTGCCGGAGATTGTACTTGCGCGTGAACGCCTTGGCGCACTCGTGACAGCTGAAGGGCTTGAGGCGACGATGCTCGCGGTCCTTGTGCTGGCGCAGATAGGCGCCGTTGCCGAATTTCAGGGGGCACTCGTCGCAGGCGAACTTGGGCTCGTGCGAGTTGGAGCGATGCTGCCGCAGACCCGCTTTGGTCGCGTAGGCGGCGGGGCACTTGTCGCAGATGAACGGCCGGTCGATCTCCGGGTGCTTCTTGAACACGTGCTGCTGCAGATCGAGCTTCTCCGAGAACAGGATCATGCAGATCTTACAGTAGAGTTGCTCGCCGTCTCCCATGGACGCTGGGAAGTTGTTCTTCTGTCTTTTCTTTCTGCACATTCTTTACTATGAAAACAAAGTGAGATTATTTTCGTAAATGAGTAAAATAATCATATTCGATATTGTTCACACCCGCACCTTCGATCGAGTAATTATCGCGCTAAAATTTAAAGTTAAAACTTGGATATGTAATATTGTAATCCCTTATCTCTCGGCTGTGCTCGTATATACGCGCGATATTACTACGAGTACGGTCGCTCGACTTCTATATTATTATTCTCGATAGTTGATTAATTAGAGCTTCGCGAGGCAGCGTTTGACCCCGTCTACATGGTGTTGTAAAAACACGTACGAGCACTTGTTTACATTCGTGAAAGCAATTTAATTCCTATCCCCTACGGAAATTTCAGCGCCACTCTAATTCTTAAAAACTCTTAAAAACTCTTTAAAAGTCTAAATAAGTACTAAAAATTCTTATAAATGTTCGGATTTCGTACCATGATTTTTAAGAGTTAATAAAACTTTATAAGAGTTTTAAATGATATAAATAGAAATATTCAGACGGGTAAGGCAATCGCTTATTGAATTTTAAAAAATATTTACAAGTTACAATCATTTTTGTAAAGATTTGATTTTATAAAGATTTGATGAAAGTTTTCAATATTCTTAAAGACTATTTTGATCGGTATCCACGCTCACCAAAGGTCATGGTGAAAAAACTATACAAGCAACTATATGAACAATATAGAAAAAATAAAAAGAATGAAAAAAAAATCTTAACATTTTTTATAAAAAATTGAGTCTCCAAAAGGTTTAATGAATTTTCAAAACTCTTTAAAATTATCAATCAGATGTGCAAAATCCGAACATTTACAAGACTTTTTAAGACGTCTTTAGACTTTTTTAGACTTTGTAAAACTTTCTCGTGAGAAAAATTTCCGTCAGGGTTGCACAAATGATTGCAGCAATAAAATAAAGAAAAATAAATTCTTATTTGATAAGACTTGATGAGACTTAAAGAAAGCCCTTTATTTGTTTTGCTACTTTTACAGAGCGTTTAATGTGTTTTGACTGCACAAAAAAGTAAGTGGCGAAAGGTCGACTTTTGAGAATGAATTTAGTTTCAAAGAATTTTCTATCTATATTTTTTCTGAGGACCTGAAGAAATTAAAAAATTTGAAAAAATTCAAAAAAATACTTTCCAATAAACTAAACAACCTTAAATTTTTTTCAGATTTTTTGCGTGCTTCAAGCTTTCAGAAAAAATCTTTGAACATTTTGAAAATTCATATACGGTGTTAGAATGCAATAACCTTTTCGAAAAATTTTTCTCTTTTTTATTTTATTGAAAAAAGTAACCTCAAATTTTTTCAGAGATGCGAACGCATCGTTTGAAGCGAAAGCCCCCTTTACGAAGCCTCGAAAAATCTGAAAAAAATTTTTTCTCGTTTATTCATCAAGATATATAACCTTAAAATTTTTTCAGATTTTTTAATTGAAGGCGATAGCTTCTAAGGCCAAAAAATGCTATTTTTAACAAAAAAGGTTCCTAGAACCCGATGGTTCCGGTCAAAAAATTGGAAAATATTTTTTTTAAATTTCTTGTCAAATTTTAATTAATTTTGACCGTTTCAAATTTCCGATTGAAGTCTCCTAGCTCAATCTAGAGTATTACAGATGATGTAAGTGTAACCTTTTACTATAAAAAATAATTATAAAAGAAACCAATAAAACTGTGAGAAGCAGCTAGCGAGCAGCTACACATGTATTACAATTTAATGTATCTCGCGCATCTTCTATGCATAATTTCGATGACACACACGACAGGTAAAAAGTAACATCATGTCGGACACGAGCAGCCACCGTGAACAATGCCGAATTGAGCGGCCTAAAATCATCACCTCTTTCAGAGGTCTCCATTAATTAAACGCTTGCAGAAACTCTTGCGAAAATACAATTCGCACGGCAAAGAAATGTACACGCGCTGCCGCGAGATGAATGAATATCGGAGAAAAACTATAAAACTGCAGTGACCGCGACTCCACCGATTTCGGGAAGACCCGGGGTTTTGTAATGTACACGCGCATGCAAGATATGTGTGAATTATTCACACATATCGAGCCGACTTCATACGCTGCAACCGCTAAGGCGGGGGCAAATTTAGGTGTATATAAGCTACGAGAAAAGAGTCTCAGCAGCTTCTTCTTATCTACGAAATCGCACACTGCTTATCGTGAGCTCTGTGGTTCTTCCAATTTTGTGAGGCGCGCATCGAGCCATTATGCGCAAGCTCTGTCATTTCCGATTTTTCATACGGTGTACAGTCAGTCGCCATTCGTTGCTGTAGACTCTTATGCTCATTTTATTCGAATTTCTCGATTTTTCCGATGAAAATGGAAAATTTCGAAAAATTGGATAGCACCATTGGAAAAATGAGAAAAAACTACATCGAAAACATATTTTTGTTAAATTTTTCGAAATAAATTGGTTACTGTTATTGGCACAAAACGCGAACGTAGCGGCTACGGCGCGCGCTGGCCGCGGCCGGGCGGTCGAGCGCCGACTAAAACCTCTCTTGTAGCTCGAAATTTTCAGTTGTTGCACACGCTGAAAAATAGTGTTTTCGACGTAAAAAGACATGCTCTTTCGATTGGAAACATAAAAAAGGTAAAAAAACGTTGTTTTTTGAGATAATCAACTTTGAAATATATTTTTCAGTTTTTTTCCGGGAAAATGGTAAATTTCGGAAAATTGGACCCCACCATCGGAAAGCTGAAGTAATTTCCCATCGAAAACCTATGTCACATATTTTTTCTAAGGATGTTTAGTGCCTTTTCTGGCGAGTTAGAAATTGAGTGATTTTGCTTAAAAAGGCCGCTCGGCCGGGTCGCTAGGACAGTTCAGGAATTTTGCCCCATATATAGACAGCACATACGTATTTTATGTATTATCGTATACGCATAAGCAAGAGAGCTCAACGCAGTCAATCCCGTGAGCTAAGCTGACTGCATGGCTTTTGTTGTTACGTTGCCTCGTGTGTATACGTAAATCGTAATCGTGTGTATACGTCTCGGCAGCAGGCAGCAGCAGAATAAGAAAGCAGTTCTATGTAGCTGGCGCGGCAACCAATCACAGCTCGTAGCGCAAACCGACGCTGCATAGGCAGTTATTGGCCTCGAGTCTGTGACATGTAGCGCCCATGGTGTCAGGCAAATGAACTGTGAGAGGTCAATGCTAGTGTCAGTTAATTAAGAGTTAAGATACATTGGATACCACGTGCAGCTGCTTATTTACAAATAAAAATGGACAAAAAAACTGAAGTGAAGAAAATAAAAAGTAAAAGGTGTTGTGTGCATAACTGCCAAAATAAGACTGGCATTACACAAGTGCCTTTTTATCATTTTCCAACAGATAATAAGCTATTTCCCCATAAAGTAGCTCGCAGAAATGCTTGGATAAAAGCAGTAAGACTAAATCGTAGTGATGGGTCTGAATGGCAGCCGAGCAAACACGATTTAATTTGTGGTCAACATTTTGTTGGAAATATTAAATCCGAGCATCCTAACAGCCCCAGCTTTAACCCAACAATTTTTCCAGCTGCTTACAAAAATACAATTAGTAATCCTGAAGAGGCACGTCAGCGTTTTGAGCGTTGGATAAATAGAAACAGTTCATCCAAACCAAGTGTTGACCTAAAAGTTGAAGATTTATCAATCAATACTACTTGTGACAGTGACTTGTACAGTATTGATACTGTGGCAGAAGAAAAAGTTGTGATTAGTACTAAAAGTGTTGGAATACAAGTTTACTTTACAGAAGAGACAGATACACGAGAAATATTTATTTCTAATTTAATGCAATCATCTTCATGCGGCTAAAATAAACGTGATGCAGAGACATATGTTGCAATGCCTGTAGTGATTAAAAAAGGATGCAATCCTGTTAATAAAACTTGGATCAGTGAAGATAATAACCCCAGTTTTGTTGAAAGTTTGTGTTGTTTACACAAATTGAAAAAAGAAGATGGTATAAGTGGCTTTGAAGGATATCGCAGCATGTTAAAGAGCGATAAAGCAATGTTACAATTTTGTGGAGTACAAGTTGAAAATTTTAATTTATTTATGAAAGTGTTATCAGCAGGCTATCGTTGCAACAAAAAAAATATTATTAGTATTGAAAATAGATTACTAATATTTTTTTTTTAAATGAAAACTGGTTTAACTTTTAGTACAATTGGTATAATCTTTGGTATACATAGGACTACGGTACCAGACATTTTCTTTTCATTAGTACAGTATTTGAACAAAGCCTGTAAAGATTTTGTTCCTTGGCCAACTCAACAAGAAGTTAGAGGTACCACGCCATCCTGTTTTAAGCCTGAGTACAGCAATTGTAGAGTGATCATTGATGCCACTGAATTCAGGATGGAAGAACCTCCACGCACTGATGACCAAATACAATCATGGTCCCATTATAAAAAAGGATACAGGCTCAAAGTTGTTGTTGGGTGTACGCCAGGTGGTTTGATATCATTTATTAGTGGTGGATATGGTGGCAGAGCTAGTGACGTACAAATCACTGCTTCATCAGAATTATTGAAGCTCTTAGAACACGGTGACATTGTATTAGCTGACAAAGGCTTTCCTACTATTCAAACTAAATTGATGGAAAGTGGTAAGAGTGTTCTAGTAGTAATGCCTCCGTTTGTCCAAAATCATCACTTATCAGCAGAAGATAGGGAGAAGCAACGCCATGTAGCCAGAGTTAGAATCCATATAGAAAGAATTATGCAAAGACTCAGAGTTTACAAAATACTGGACTTATTTACAATTAAGATGCTACCTTATGTGGATGACATAATATTTATGTGTTGTGTTCAAGTCAATCTTCAACCACCCATTATCAAAGATTGATATGTATGATTGGACAGTGAACGCTCATCTTTATAAATAATAATTGTGAATAAATCAATTATGTAAGCAAATATAAAACTTTTACTTTTTATTTTATTTAAAACTGTTTTAACAATATTTATTCATGCATTGTATAAAATAAATATACATATATACTAATTAACATTTCCTGAATCATTTTCTTTGGATTTTTTTAGTTCAAAGTTATATAAGGCTAGTAAGTAAGATTTATAATAAAATTTTTTCAATTTAGGTACAATTTTTGATAAAAATGTCTCATCTCTAAAAACTTTCACAAGAGTTGATCCTTTTGGTGACCATACATAAAAAAAACAAACATTTAAGCCAGTAGCGTACAATGATACCTGACATTGTGTATAATATACATGGGATTTTTGCAGCTCTATTGTATTATTTATATATTTCAAGTAACCTACATTACAAGTATTATTACTAGATTCAAATACTTTTTTGGTCTTACAGGTATATGGGCATTTGATTTCTAAAATTCCTTTTATACTAAATCTATTGTTTTTACCAATAATGACACCATCAACACTCACAGCGAGCCATGGCTGAGTGGGCATCACAAATGCACCAACCTGTACAACTGAGACCTTATATTCGTTTGAAAATTGAATTAGTGCTCGAGTTTCATTTTTTATTCCATATTCAAGGCTGCTCACATAACTAGACAAATTTTTTTGAATTGGTGTATTGTCACTGGACAGAAATTGATCAGCTAAGTAATAATAGTTTTTAATTGGACAAGTTTTAATTTTGTGGGCTTTAGAGCTAGCACTTATTCTAATTTTTCTAAGAGAAAACCACTCATTGCACTTACTTTGGGACACAGTATCAACACAGAGATCAACGATACGTTGTTCTGTTTCACACACATTAATTTTATAAAAGTTTAACAAGAGCTTATCCGTTTTTGTAGTATCTACATAGTAAATCTTGCTTTTATAAGATGATTTGACTAGTTTTTTTATACACTTTGGCAATTCTTCTTCAACATGTTTTTGAACAATAGAATCTGCCAAGTCACTCAGCATACTTCTAAAATAAATTTTATTTTGATTTTCATTTCTAAAGGAAAATAATCTTTTCATGGGGCAGTCTGGAACCAGTAGTTCATCAAGTCTTAATTTATAAGGAATGACTTCATCTTCATTCTCAGCTTTTCTCTTCTGTCCAAATCTATCTTTAAAGAGCATTGGCTGCGAGTACTTTTCCTTCGCCATTAATTTTTCCGAAGGCTTACCCCACTGTTGCTCGAACGAGGTCTTTGACAGGCTGCGCTCATTATTTATAAAATGTATTAATGCGTAAATATGTTTGCAGTCAAAGGTGCTTGAAGCTAAACAATCACAAGTGTGTTGTGTCACTCGCCGCTGATCATCAATCTGAAAATTTTTTTTTTTTTAATAAAATGAGTTGCTGTTAGTGTTTATAAATAAATTTTTGCATTATGTACTAACCGAAATTTGGACTTTATAATCATTTTCGTTGCGGTTTTTGGTCCTAATGCACAGAGCACGAATAACTTTACACTTATTTAAACTATTTTCTTCTGTGACAGAATGAATATGTCCACAAATCGCTAAATTAGTGCCATTTTTGATCGGATCTGGCCAGAAATCGATGTTGTGCGTAATCGCTAAAAAACCCGTTTTTAAAACGACGTCCATAATGACGATTGATGATTCCAACTCGAGGTGATTGGCAGTGTTTGTAATTTTAAAATTTTTTATAAATTATCACCGATTGTTTATTTATGAGTGGTTTATGGTGGGTGCCTGCGTGACATTGTATGCAAATACATGCAAGCGTACAAATCTCTGGACCTATGACAGTTCATGATACCGCGCGCTTGGCGCTGCAGTCGAGACTCAAAGCCAATACTACCAAAGTTGCGCTCGCTCGGACGCACGGACGGACAGACGGACGGACGCTCGGTTTTTACGGTTTTACCCCCGATACCAAACGTGAATATAGATGCTTCACATCAATACCAAACGTGAATATAGATGTTTCACATCAAAAATATATCGAGCGATCAGGCCAATATTGTAATATGTTCATCGATTCATCAAAATACAACTTCTGATAAATTTTGGTCGTCGGCAGACAAACAGATTTCATTATTGAGCATCATATGAGCCAATAAAACATGATTTTTCTCTAATTTTCCTTGATTCTTGTCAAGTGCTATAAAATGCTGTACGATACTCGTGCCATGGGGAAACTTTTCGGCCCAGCTATTAGGCGCATATCTGGAAAACAATATCGAGCGTTTGTCGATCGAACTGCTCCGAAATCACACGTCTCGCTTTTTGTGTATGTTTACATTGCTGCTTGGGCGCTTATGTTGAATCGGCTCGTCGTCGAGAATGTGCCGCGAGCACGACTGTGGCTCACACAGCGGCATATAGGCAGTGTCGCGTACCGTATGTCGAGTCGTTCAGTTCGATACACGCGTTACGACACAATAAATTATCGCATCGATCGCAGTGCTGCAGTGATTGTAGTGAAATCATCAGAGAGCGAGAACGCGTTAGTGCGAAAGCGTGCAACCAACATGGACTATACGCAAAAAATTAAATATTGGCGAGGTGAGATCAGTTGGGATAACGAAAAAGATCGACGCAAATTTCGCCAGCAACTGTCCTCCTTGGATTACAAGAGATGGAAGGGCCCACTGCCGGATCTCCGAGAAATTCTTCGGCCGGAAGAGATCGACTGGCTTCTCGCGGAGGACGTGAAGAGGAGAGAATCCGGACCCACTTACGACGACGACGTCAATTGTTTCGTCGACCTCGTGTACGAGACCGGCTACGAGGACGCAGGCAGCGATACCGCGATTCGCACCACACCGATACATCACGCGGCTCGGCGCCGCTACTGTTACTGGGACAAAACGATCCGTAAGCTCTTCAAGATTTACGCCAGACGCGACGTCAACTACACCGACGAGCTGGGCGTGACGCATTTCCACGTGGCCTGCGAGTACGGCCTCGACGACGTGGCGCGAAAATTCCTCGAGCTCGGCCGCGGCCGGCTGGATCCCGACTGTCTCGCGCAGAGAGCCCGAGTCGATCCGCCGCTGCACTCGGCGCTGCGGCGACGGCACGCTGCGGTGGTCGAGCTGCTGCTGCGAGCCGGTGCCGATCCGAATCTGGCCAGCGTCAAGGATAACAACGGCTCGACGCCTCTGCACACCGTATGCCGGGAAAGACACGGCGACTTGATGGAGCTGTTTTTCAAGACGAGCGAGGACGAGGGTCGCGCGGTGCTGGTCGACGCTCGCGACCAGTCCGGCCAGACGCCGCTGCACGCGTCGCTGTTGCGCTGCCACAGGCGGGTGAGCGAGTCGCTGCTCAGGCACGGCGCGAATCCGAATCTGGTAGACGCCGTTGACGGCGCGACCGCTCTGCACGTCGTCTGCAAGAGGAACTACGACGACGAGCTGGACCTGGTGGAGGCGATATTCGAGATAAGCGAGGAGAAGGGTCGAACGGTGGAGGTCGACGCCAGGGACAAGTCGGGCAACACGCCGCTGCGATACGCTCTGGGCTGGGGTAACGGGCCGGTGGTCGAGTCGCTGTTGAAGAGAGGCGCGGACGCGAATTTAACCGACGTCGAGGGATTCACTGCTTTGCACACGATCTGCGCTAACGGCGACGGCGATGACCCCGACCAGGACGAGTTGACGAGGATCGTACTCGAGTCGACCCGCGAGGTCGATGCTCTGGACAAGCTAGGCAGGACACCGCTACACTTGGCTCTGGCCGCGGGCTGCAAAAAACGGCTCGTCCGGGCGCTGCTGGATAACGGCGCAAACGTGAATCGAGCCGATGCCGAAGGATCGGCTGCTCTGCACATCGTCTGCCGGAGAAATCAACTCGACGACGATGACTCGACGAAGATGCTGCTTCTCGAGATCATCGCGGAAGCGAATGTCGACGCGAAGGACGAGAAGGGCCGGACTCCGCTGCAATGGGCCGTGGCAAATCTCCGTCCGGACTTGATCGACCTACTGCTGGCTGGAGGCGCCGATCTGTCCGAGTTTCGTTTCCCCACCGAGGACTATTTCGGCGCGAGATTCGACCGTCACGGCTATCATCACTGGAACGAGTTCAAGCTGAAGCTGATTTGTCGCGCTCTCGCCTGCGTCGAGCGTCTGGACGAGCGGGGATACCAGCTGGACCGAAGCGACGCCTCGACGATCGTGAAATTTTTCACCAAGTACGGAGTGTTCGAGACGACGATGGATTTGAAGAGGCGTTGGTTCGACAACGACAGTTACGCGAGCAAACTGAAAAGTATAACGGTCAATTTGCGTCGAATTCGTGACGACGACGACGACGACGACGAGAAGGAAGAGAACAAGGAGGGGAAGAAGAAAGAAGCAGCGAGCGCGGATTTACCGGAACGTCCGAGTCTGTCCCTGTACGACCTGATGAAGCTGCCGGCCGAGGAGGCGGAAAAATTACTGCTGCGCACGGACTACTTGAAGTTCGCCAACTCGTACGACTGGTGGAAGTGGCGCCGTGAATATCGCGAGCCGTGCGTCGTCTATCTCTGCGAGACGCTGTCGAGAGGATTTCTGCACCGATGGGCGCCTCTGTTTTTCTCGGAGCTGATGCGCCATCGGATGCCGATTCTCTGCTGCAAAAAAGTCACCGATCGGCTGACGTGCAGCGATCGGTTGAATGTACATCTGGCAGCGGAAATTTTTAGGAAAGAGGTGGAGAGCCAGAGGCTTGATATCGATGGCAAAGGTACATTTTCAACTTTTTTTTGGCCAATTAAATCGATTCGTTTGTTTCGGAATTTTTCTAAAGAACTTCTATCATTTTTTTTTTCAGGCAATGGAGTCGAGGATACATAGATTTACTTTTGTTTTGTTAATGTTAGAATATTGTTATTAGTGTGCACGATTTTCATTATATGTCAAATTAATATTTCATTGAATGAAAAATTAAATAAATGAAATAAATCGGTCACTCAATTATATATAATCAAAGCCATGTATTGAATTTTGTCAATTATCTTCTTGATACAACTTAAATTTTTTTTAAGCAACATAATCGCAGAAAAATTGATTTTCAGCCAGTTTGATCGATTATAAAAACTTTCATTCATTTACGGAAGATTTAACGCTAATCTATATCGAAGAAATTCTGAGCAGCCGTTTCCACGTAATTTGAACGAGTTGTGAATTATTCCGTTATAATTTATTTTCCTGTAGGAAAATTAATAAAATACTATATATTATCTCTTACTTTTATATTGATTCATTTTTTCAATCAATGCAGATAGTCTCTGATGAACTAAAGCATTAGTTTTTTAGCTGGAGTGCGTCTTTTTGTGACGGTGAGTGAGTGACTTTGGCACTAACTATCGAAGTTTAAAATCGATCGTAAATTATCTACTAAAGACTGAATCGAAAAAGGGTTCACATTAAAATCGATTAACAAAAAATTGAATAATAAAAATTAATACTCACAGGCGAACGAGTCAAAAAATCAGCTGGATAAAAACAGCTGCGTATTGTGATACTTCTTTACATACGTGTAAATATTATATTGAATATGAATAAAAATCAAGCAATTTAATGTATACAATTAAAAATAAAAATACAAATTATAAATAAAATTAAAAAAATTTAAGTCAGCTTCATAAGAACTATTGCAAAATATGAAACTAAAGTTTATTTTTACGGTAAATTTAATGTTCTCCTCGAATCGATGAGACTTTATAAAAATTGTTATAATCACAAAATATACTTAAAATACGACTATTTACCGTTCTTTTTTTAATCTTCATAATAAATAATAATAATGCACGAAATGACATCAACTATATTTAAATTGATATGCTACAAGTATGTATCTACACTTAAATTGAAGAATGTAACACAACTTTCTTATGCGCGGCGGCTAAGTTTAGGCATGAGCAGTTACTTTATTTTTTTAATTCCCCAAAGCAGCTATACATGAAATTATAATATTGTTACATCGAACACACAGTTTTTACACATAAAAAAAAATCACGCAGTGATTCTAAAACAGTTCGTGTTCACGCACTTTCATTTTTTTAAATCTTTTTCAACATATTCATTCATCACTACGACGGTTGGCCCTTGTTTTGCGAATGAAATAAGCGGTGATACTTCGAAAGAGGGTGAAACTCGTGATATCAAGCCAGATTACCGAGTCAAGAAAACTTGACATAAATTTTGGGATGTTAAAATTGTTCCATAATGCGATAAAAAGCCATCAAATATGATAGTATCATTTGCAAAACCTGAAAAATACTTTCATTATCTGAATTTCTCGCCATTGCATATAAAATTAATCCATGTAATATTTATAGCTCACTTCACTGAATGTTTCATAATTCATAAGAATCGTAGGGCCGGCCATAAAAGTGCAAGGATTCGCTGTTCGGATAATCAATATAAGAATTAAACGTGCTTCTTTTACTGATAATAAATACCATTTAGCGTCGTAACTGAAAGAGCATTTTGGATATGATTTTTTTTTAATTTCATCATATTCATTTGTATAATAGTTTTATTACCAGTTTCTATTCAATTGATCACAGGCATTTATTATATCTTCACTTAAATAAATCAAGTAGAAAAGAATCATAACTCCAACGACCATGCAAAGAACCATTTTTGAAGCAAATAGTTTATCGTAAGAAATTACAACTAAAAACTAAAAAAAATTTTTAAAAATTAACTCTTAAGCCATTAATTTTTTTCTTGTAGAGTGAATTAAATGTTATATTTGAAGAATTTTTATAAAATTACCCAAAATCCTGCTAAACTTAATAAAAATACATCTAGAGCAATAATTATGAAAAATTTCGTTTGTACTACTCCGGATAAATCTTTGAACAATCTGAAATATTTTGATTAAATTTTAATCCATCATACATCTAATTGTGTGACAATTTTTGTATATTTTCCACTTTCAGAAAAAAAATAGAATCTCATTTTAATAAAATCAAAATTACTCAACTTTATGGTTTGTTGATGTATACGAATGTTATCGCGAATCCTTCTGTTAATTATTTTCATTTTTTGTTCGTGTGTCAAAATTGTGGAACTCGATTTTAATTCTTCTTGCATGTGTGCCATATCACGTCTAAAATAAAAATAATGCGAACATTAAAATTTAACATAAAATTGATTCGAGTTCATATTTACCCTAACATTGTGAACAATCCTACAATAAATTTTACAGTAAAACCTTGAAAAAAATTCATAGCATTGATAACATACATCATTATAGAAGTTAGTACCACGGAATAACAAAAAAATATCCAGTAATGCTTCTTCAGAAAGTTAGTAAAAAAGACAGGGGTACATAATCTTCTTTCGATTGAGTTATTTACAAATAACCAATTGCTTACTGAATATGTTACAATCGGTTCGAATGCGTATCCTAAAAAAGAAACTGAAAAAAAACCTGCGAAAAGTTGAAATAGTCATTATTTGAAACAGAATTCATTGAAAAGTTAAAAGAATTATTTTAAAGACCGTTTTACAAGGAACATTTTTATTTTGAATTCAATAATTACTTAGAAATAACTTCATAAAGTTAATAAAATAACGGCTAACCAAAGTAAAGTATAGCAATGATGAAAGCCACTTTTGAGTTTTTCAGAATTATTTCTTTCTCAGTGTTGGATCTGCAATTTTGCCACAGATTTTCCATTTGATGAGCAATATCCATAATCTAGAGTAAAATTTTTATTCAATGAGCAAAAGCTATTCAAATTGCAGTTTTAAAATAATTTTTGAACTTACGGTATTCGCATCAAACATTAGGGATATATACATAAAAATGAAACCAGTAATAAAAGTACCAGTAAAGAATGCATTAAATATATCATTATTTGTCAATGTTCCGTCAATAATTCCAAATGTAAGTACAAGTACCTATAAAAAATTTTTATATCAAATTTAAAAACAATACCATTATATATAATTGTGTTATTCATTTTTGCTTCAACCCATTATCACGCAAAAGTGCAATTTTGTGCATGAATTTTCCATTATAAAAAAATTCTAGATAAAGTTGAAATATTTTCTTGAAAATCCGTACCCAGGCGTTTTTGGGTATGCTCTTTCAGAATCCGGTGTTATTTTTGCGATCAATAAATATTATCATCATTTATTTTGCAATTAAAAAAAACATGATTTTTTGACTAAAAATTTTTTCAAAGTCGTTTTACCTTGTCCTGCCTTTGTAGGGTTCCCCTAATCTTACACTTTTACCCTGAACCTTCAAAAAATGCGCTGCCGCGATTTCCATCTAGCCCCTATGTTTCTAAAATGTCAAATTGATACCGAGCAGCGATATAAAAATTCCCTCATTCTTTTCAAGAAAATACTTTATTTTTATCTATAATATTTTTACAATGGAAAATTCATGCACAAAATTGCTTATTTGCGCGTTAATGGGTTAATCATAGATAATACAATTGCATTAAATTAGGATCAATAAATTCATATATATTTACCGAATCCAATACTGCGAATCCCGAAAATCCGAAAAACATAACATTTCCAAATAGTCGAATGATTTTATTCATTTTAGGAGAAACAAATATCCATCTACCCAAATTGGAAATAATTTCAATCATGCTTGGTGGTGAATAATATTTTTCGGAAACTAAAAGATCAATGTAATGATGCATTTTTTTTACTCGTAAAAGTAGTTTGATTTTTCAAAAGAAAGACGAAAAATTCCTGTGTATATCGAAGAAATGGTATAATAAATTAATTTCTTATGCTGTTTCGGATTTAGTTATTATTAAGATTGGACATTTATTTATTGTATGAAATGATATTTTCACTCTTTTTTATGAAAATAATGTTGACCTGTTAAGATTATTGTGTCTCTATGTTACGTTCCAACTCCCATTACTTACTTGAAATCAAGCGAAAAAAGAGTATTCATTAAAGTTTCATCATGATCTATAAGAAAACTAATGCTATTGTTATATCCCAAGGATATAACGTAACGTACTCAGCAATAAGCTTTAACTGCAAGCACAAGGCTACCCAAGAACTGATAATACTGCGCCAAGCACACTATACGCAGCGTAGTTTGCATGTGAAGTATATACATGGGCTATTCCACAACAGGTGTTGCAGGCCCAAAAATAAAGTTGAAAAAAACCATTTACTCTTCAAGAACACAATGAAAAATGAAAATCCTGAACACCACAGCCCCCTAGGTCCAACCCTCATGGATCTACAGGGGCTAAAAGTTGGGTTGTCATGTTTTGAAGATATTCTGCTTTTTTGGAGTGCTTATGAAAAAATTTTTAAACCATGTTTTTCAAATGTTTTTCAATGTTGTTAAATCAAAATCTGTACTCTAATGAGACATTCCAAAACCTCAAAACCCCTTAAAATTGAAAAATTAGTGTAAAACCATAGTGTAAGACCATCAAAGTCAAAAAATAAATATGTTCGTATGCCTAAAATTGTCCCATATTGTAATATGTTCATCGATACACCAAAATACAACTACTGATACAGTTTGGTAACTGAGTCTCTATTACAGACAATTTGATAGCTTACGAAGAGCCAAAAAACATGGTTTTTTCTCTATTTCCATCAAGATCAAGATCATCAAAATCAAGAAAAATTAAAGAAAACCCATGTTTCTTGACTCATATTAAGCTCAATAATGATTTCTGTTTGTCTGCCAATAACCAAAATTTATCAGAAGTTATAATTTGATGTATTGATGAACATATTACAATATTGGCCATATCGCTGGGTATGAACATGATTATTTTTGCACAATTATATGATTAACCCATTAACGCGCAAAAGTGCAATTCTGTGCATGAATTTTCCGTTGTAAAAAAATTATAGATTAAGTTAAAATATTTTCTTGAAAATCCATACCCAGGGGTTTTTGAGTATGCTCTTTCAGTATCCGGTGTTATTTTTGTGATAAATAAACATTATCATCGTTTATTTTGCCATTAAAAACAAAAAACGTGATTTTTTGACTCAAAATTTTTTTTCAAAGTCGATTTTCTACCTTGCCTTGCCTTCGGAGGGTTCCCATAACACCAGGAATCGTGCACTTTTTCTCTGAACCTTCGAAAAATGCGCTGCCGCGATTTTTATCTAGCCCCTATATTTCTAAAATGGCTAATTTATACCGAGCAGGGATATGAAAATTGCCTTATTTTTTATTTGTAAATTATTGACTTTTTAAAAAAAAGTCATACAATGAAAAGTGTTCAAATTTGTTCAAAGAATACATGTGAATTTTTTTTTAGAATTTTTGAATAATTTTTTTCAGAATTTTTCAGATTTTTTTGGAACATTTTGGATTTTTTCGACAGGCCGGGAAATGATCGTATTTTGTGAAATTTTCAAAGTGGTCTGAAAAATTCTGAAAAAAATCACACGTATTCTCTAAACGATTTCAAATAAGTTTTTACACACCAAATTGTACTTTTGAATT